TTATGAAACTGCTTTAAAATATTGTGATTTTGTTCCACATTTTTCATTTGCTCCTGTAACGAGTTGTGACGTAGAACGATCGTTTTCTAGGTTTAAAGATTTATTGACTTCTAAAAGAAGTAATTTCACTGAAGACAATTTAGAAAAATATGCAGTCATACAAACATATTTTTCAAATGAAGAAGATTGATATTAATTTGTATTGTATATATTGTATATAATTGTATATTTGCTACTTTAGGATAAAGAGTGTATATTGGAACACTCTAAACATAAAACTAATGATGGTGTATCCTCGTTGATATATTTATTAGTCAATAATATATTAACAGAAAAAGCCAACAACATTATCCCACAACACAATAAAAAAATAAATAATAATATCATTTGTAATTATATAATAATATCCAACCAAATTTGAACTAAAATTTAATAAAATAATTATTGCAATGTAAATGTAATAATAAGCCCGCCCCAAATGTTACGCCCGGGCGATAAAAATCCAATATCTTATCTACTGTGTCGACCAGTTCAGTAAATAACTTGTTTTATTCAGAATGTATTATTCAAATCGAAGGTCCGCTCTTACCGTTACTTCGCTGATAAGAATAAATTAAATTGTCCGGTCTTTACTTATCAGCGAAGTAACGGTAAGAGCGGACCTTCTATTTGAATAATACATTCTGAATAAAACAAGTTATTTACTGAACTGGTCGACACAGTAGATAAGATATTGGATTTTTATCGCCCGGGCGTAACATTTGGGGCGGGCTTATTATTACATTTACATTGCAATAATTATTTTATTAAATTTTAGTTCAAATTTGGTTGGATATTATTATATAATTACAAATGATATTATTATTTATTTTTTTATTGTGTTGTGGGATAATGTTGTTGGCTTTTTCTGTTAATATATTATTGACTAATAAATATATCAACGAGGATACACCATCATTAGTTTTATGTTTAGAGTGTTCCAATATACACTCTTTATCCTAAAGTAGCAAATATACAATTATATACAATATATACAATACAAATTAATATCAATCTTCTTCATTTGAAAAATATGTTTGTATGACTGCATATTTTTCTAAATTGTCTTCAGTGAAATTACTTCTTTTAGAAGTCAATAAATCTTTAAACCTAGAAAACGATCGTTCTACGTCACAACTCGTTACAGGAGCAAATGAAAAATGTGGAACAAAATCACAATATTTTAAAGCAGTTTCATAATCGTTAAAATTGTTCAGGGAGATTTGTTTCAGAGTCTGTAAATTTGGATTTCTTTTAATAACACAATCTATTTTATGGTTAAATTTATCTTGTAAGGGCCACTTTACGTTTTTTAAGTGTAACAATGTCGATTCAAATTTTTCCATAGCAACCGATAATTGTAAGTTACGGGTTTCAAGGAATTTTATAGTTTCTGGGAGACACGAAAAATAAGTCGCAAGAAAATTTAACTCCGACTGCAAAGTTGTTTTTGTTATTAAACCTTTACACTGAGTGATAGAGAGAGCGTCCTCTGATAAGTTGGAAATAAATACTTTTAGTCTGTCGAAATGCTCCGAAAAAAAGAACACAGCCTGTAACCAAGTTCCCCATCGTGTAATAACTGGTTGTGGAGGTAGGGGGATATTCGGACATATTTCTTTATATAAAGAAACTCGGGACGGTGCTTTTAACAAAATTTTTTTAAAACAGCTAATCAACGAATTAATGTCTGGAAAGCTGTCACGGATAAACTCACAAACTCGGTGTAACGCGTGAGCAAGGCAAGTTACATGCAGCATGTTTGGAAAATGTTCTTGTAATAGTTTCCCTGTTTTCAACATTACACTTGCCGCGTCTGAAATAAACAATAAAACTTTTGAAACGTCATTATCAATTACATTGTTCAATCCACGTTTCACTATTTCATAAATCATTTCAGCGTTCACAGTTTCACGAAACACACTAGAAACTAAATACTGTTGTGAAGTATTTTCAGCACTTAATAATCCTACAACAACATTAACAACACATCTATCCTTTATGTCAGTCGTTTCATCTGCACTAACCCAAATATATTTGCTGGAAATTTTCGTTTTTATTGCCGTCATTGCTTTATCGTACTGATTTTGAATATAATGTTTTCTAATTGTGGATTCATCCGGTATTTTACGTTTAGTATATTTACAAAGAAAATTTTTGAAAATTGTATTATTTAATTTTGTTAATGGAATATTTGCAGAAACAAATGCGTTGCATAAATCTTCATAAAAGATTTTGTCTGGACATCCCTCTAAAGATTGCATGTGTTTTTGTGTTTTCACATGTTGTGTCATACTTGACTTTCCACTAAAAACTAACACCTGATCACAATTGCGGCAGTATAATTTGTTGTCATTAAAACGACGAAAACAATCAAAGTCCGATAATAAATTTTCCATATTTACGTTTCCAGTTTCTATCACTTTTCCCTTTGAACTAAACAAATATACTCATTGGAAAAATCTAGTGATATTTTTACAAGACACTTTCTTCTCAAATCTCCTGTTTATCGACTCTTTGTTATCTTTTTACATTTTTTCAACCAACAGATACCTATATAGAGTGAGCAATTGAATTAATACATACATTACAGAAATTTAACAGACATTTATTTTATTGTCTCATCGTGTATAAGTACCATAATATCCACAGGAAATAAAAACATAAATGTTTTGTTACAAAAAATCGGTATGTACGGTATCGATAAAAGCCAAAATATTCATAAATATAATATAAGGATTGACTTTATTTGAATAAAAATATCACCGGCAACTAACCGACAATGGATCGAGAAAGTATAAGACAACATATGATGGGCCTATTTGACATTCATTTTAGGCCCTCTCTACAGCGTCTTAGTCCAAACGCTCGTAGAGTCCTAATATTTGGCCCCGATGCAATTTCTCCAACAATGAATCGGGACCAGCTAAGGCTAGAAATTTCCAATTTTCTGGAGGAAATAACAAATTCGGGGGAGGCAGCTGGGGTCCTCGATCCTCATTTTAGGCAGGAGAGTAGTGTACCACGCCAAAATATTGAGGAATAGATATTTTGTAATTATATAAGAGATAATAATAAAAAAAATATCATACAGAATATCGTTTACATTACTACACCTTAAAATCGCTTATGAAAAGTTTAACATCTTCATCAAAAAAGTTATTTTTTTTTAAGGAAAATTTCTCAGGCCACAAATTAAAGGATCTGAGGTTACTAAAAACTTTTGTAAAATATCCTACATATCCTCGGCGTTGGTGAGAAGAAAACATTAAATTTGTTTAATGAAAATGATTCAAAAGACAAAGAATATAGGTACACGATAAAAAAAAATCTCACTTTTTTGTATTAGTTTTAATGTCTATGTATATATCAGTACACTTTTTTTATCTTGTTTTAATAAAAAAAAGAGGTTTGTCCTGATAGTATTAGAATCTGCCGCACTGTCTGCCGTCTTAAATAGCGAACCCAGAATGAGACGCCTATGTGATTAAAACCAATTATTTGAACGCGATTAAAATGTCCGGTCTTTACTCATTAGTCATAATTACGTTTTTTTTAATGGTCTTCTATTTGCTTAGGTAAAAATTACGGTGTATTGTAGTTAATTTTTTTATTTTAGCTTAAGTAAATACTAAAAACTTAAATAAACAAAAGATAACTCTATGCACAACTCTTAAGTTATTATCGGGTCGGTCTTTGGGTTTGTTTGTGTTTATACAGAACCGTCGATTCCAGTTCCCAAATACAGTTGACGAATTAATTGTTCAAGAACACGTCGCGAGGCTATAACAACCTCTTAGCTGATCGAGTGTAATTTAGTGATTCTGAACTAGTTTGCGAAATAATTAAAATAAGCTTTTTGTATTATTTGAAACACAGTCTTATGTCTTTTTCTCTCTCTCTAAATTGTCGTTTAAAAAAATGTAATGTGGTATTTTACATATACCTACCTATATGATTGATTAATAATTTGGATGCAAAATAAATTATTACAAAATGTAGTAAAAATAATAGATCAATCAAAAACCGCCACAAGTCAAAAAACAAAGAAAATTACATTTTTGATTCAATGGATGCAAAATATCATTATGGTTTTACTTTAATATAATGATAATAGAGACTTACAAAATTTCAAAATGAAATTCCTCGAATAGCGTTGCCAACCGTCCTGCATTTCGGTGGACGTCCACCATTTGGGGTGCATTGTCGAGTGTCCTGCAACAACCCATTGCAGGACGCTTATTATATTTAATTATAGTGTTTCAAATAATATCTCTAATTTCTTATATTTTATAGTCACATTGGCATCGTTGCTCATTTTGTAATTTGTATTTTCTATATTTGGGTCCAATGCTCATGCCGAAAGGACATTTTCAATGTGTTCAGCTTTGTAGACTTCTTAGGATCTTTTTAAATAATATGTTTAATCATTAATTTCTCTTTACCCAAAGAATCCTTGTATTTTATTACTTCGTTTTCTGTCGAATTGTTTATTTAAGTTTGTTGTTTTTTCAATAATAAAAATGACCAGAATTTATACCGTATGTCCTGAATTTTAATTACCCTCGTCCAGAAAAATTAAAAAACAAAGTTGGCAACTCTATCCTTGAAACAATAGTATTTTAGTTGTGGCAGTATTTAATTGAGCCATAGAATATTGTAAAGAATCTATAAATTTTCTCTGTCAAAAATAAATATTATTAATATTAAAACATTATTTATGTTGTGAAAAATTGAATAAATGAATAATGAAATGATTCAAATCAACAAAGGTTTCCTTTATAAAAAGAAATATTTAAACAAACATTTTTATCTTTTTACAACAGCAAATATAGTACCTATTTATCTTCTCAAGTTCTAGATATTATACCTTTTATGTACGTTTATGTGTCACACGTTTATCTAAACACAATATTGATAATTAAAAACGAAATCTCTCCAGAAAAAACCGTGACTCATACCTCTTGGCTGGTACTGTTCATAAATGCACCAATCACATTATCTTGACCGGAATCGTCGTCAGATTCACCAATTGCATTATTATCACTATCATCAGTTTCATCGACATAATCCGAGGTTTCGGTAGTCGTGGTGCCACAAATAAAAATTTTGTTATTGTTCTCTTCTACTTTTGTCACGTCTGCGTTATCCACGCTCATTTTTACAGCAAAAACTACAAATCCGTTTTACGAACGGTCGTCAAAATAAAACATTCGCAATTTTTAATATCATCGTTTTTTTTTACGGGTAGTACCACACCTTAGCGATTTTATATAGTATTTAAAATTAATTTTAAAATGTGCTGATTGCCAATACACTGTCGTAAGCGATATTATTGTACTGATAACGTTTTATTTTGTTGTTAGGACAGACCCGTGTTGTAAAATACGACGGTTTTGTTTTTTTAATAGGTGATAATGATGATAAGAAATTTAATAAAATGTAAAGCGAATCCGCGCTATCGTTGTATAAGTTTTAGCGGATAGATGACAGATGTCGCTGAGTTTATTTATAAGTAATAAAAACGTTCGGTGGGATATAAATATTTGGAGTAAATTAAGGCTAATTTTAACAAGAATGTTTTGCGTGTTATCATTTCTGTCTGCATCTGCGAAGTAGACTAAGTAGAGCATAGACAGAAGTTAAATAGTACTTTGGTAGTTAGAGAGGTGGTAAACGTCGATTCCCGTCTGACGATTTCGAGAATTTAGCGGTAATGTTTTCCCGCCAGTGTCGTATCGAATAAATATAATTCCAATCATTTCAAATTGTATTATACGAGACCAGAATCGTATAATTTGCCCCATTCAGTATTATATATTATATAAAAGAAGATAGAAGAAATGGAACATACAGGACAGGCCAAAGACGGTAAAATTAAGTAAACTCTGCTCGTGTTAAAGCTCTAACTTTCGACGGGAAGATGTTATGGATCAACTACGTTAAACAGTTCGAATGGTCTGAACAAGATAAGGCAGTAAATTTGATAATTGTCCTTCGAGAAGACGCTTTAGTAATAAACCGGGGCAAAAATGGAAAGCATCCATGAAGCAGTCCACTGTTAAGTGGATTGCCTTAAATATTGATGGACCATTCCCCATGACCGAAGATGGTAATAAATACATGATGGTGGTTAGGGATTATTTCCCGAAGTGGGTGGAAGTCTACGTTATTGTAAATCAAGAGGACGTGTTGATAAAAGAATATACCAATCGATTTGGAGTGCCCTTGGAGATCCACAGTGACCAAGGCAGAAATTTTAAAAGCCAGCTTTTCAGAGGAATCTGTGACAGACTAGGCACGAGGAAAATATCAGAACTACGGCATTGCACATACAATCGAATGGAATGATGGAGCGAATGAATAAAACCATTGGCAAGTACCTGTCAAAAATGGTTTCCAACCATCAGCCAGATTGGGATCAGTACCTTTCGCTTTTCGCAATGACCTATAGACCAACTGTCAATAAAATAACAGGCCAAATACCAACAAAAGTCCTGTTTGGGCGTGAAATGAGACTACCGTGCGATCTCGAGTTTGGATGCCGAGCTTGAAAAGGCATAGCAGATGAAGATTACGAAGAAAAATGGGCGATATGCACGGGTTAGTTCGCTCGCATCTTCAAATCTTCAGCGACAGAATGAAAAAACGATACGATACCCAAGCTGCAGAAGGATGTTTCAAGAAAGGCGACAAAGTCTGGCTCCATAACCCAAAAAGACGGCTATTCTCCAAAGCTCCAGAGATCTTGGGAAGGTCCGTACATCGTTAAGAAAAAAAATTCATGATTTAATTTACCATATAACCAAGATCCCGAACGGTAAACCAAAAGTAGTGCACCAAAACCAGCTGGCGCCATTTGAGAGTCACCATGACGGGGATGAATAAGTAAACCAGCCCCAAGAAACACCTGACCTTGTCTTTGAAGATTTTATGGGTGTATATGGAGGTACCGGAAAAGCAAGATATGGTGTTACAACGGAGCAACAACAAAATCTGCTTACTGTTCCTAAAGACTACTCGCTGGTCCATAGCACTTCCGCCAGCATCAACGACGCTCGAGATCTGGCGTCTGTGTTCCGGAAGAAGTTTGGTCGATTGCCAAAACTTCAAAGTCAGTTACCAGCACCTGGAAAAGCCCGAGGGAATTCTTGTGTACATCTTTTATGGAATTATCTGGGTATTCCCGTGAATTCTTAGGTATTCCCAGGAATTCTTAGGTATTCTTTGGCAATACTCTATAAAAATTGTTCCAAGAAACCCTCATAAAGGACAAAAGGAAGGTCGAAAATAAAGTTATTGTAAAAATTAATAACAGTACGAAAATTTTATTTAAAAAAACTACTATAAAAATATTTTAATTTTAAAAAACTTCAAATGTATCTTGTGAAACATGGGACTGGTTTCACATGCCTCTTAATGGGCACTGTTGTATCCAGGGTTCTGTAAATATAATGACGAAACTCAGGACTAGACTTCTAAAATCATACCTTAAACGTAACCAGAATGACGAAGGCACCAGTGAATAATTTAATAAACAAAGAGAAAAAAACAGATAGGAACTGTCCAATAATTAAATTTAATGAACTCTCGATTTTGGAAAAAAATGTTTCGATTTATACTAGAATTTATTGTATGTGGTATGTTGCGTTCCTTTTACGAATTTGGAGGCGTTGGATAATATCTGAGTTTATCAAATAATTTTATAACATTAAATAGCTTTTTATGTGTGGAATTTAATGCACATGTTATTATAAAGTCAAATAATTTTTTTAAAGAAAATAAAAAAATTGATGAAAATATTTCAAAAGAAAAAAGGAGTATATGATTTTGGTATGAGGACTTTTTACTTTCCTATCTGTATACAGATATAAGGAAAGTATAGGAATCATGATTTTTTTCGACCTCGAGTTTTCGACGTATTTTTACGATTTGAGGTCCCCTGAATCCGTTTTGACTATTTTCGCGATGATGTCTGTGTGTGTGTGTGTCTGTGTGTCGCATAACTCATGAACCGATGCACAGAAAAACACCAAATTTCAAACTTAAGATTTGTTCCAGTGTCCAATGTGCTGATTAGATTTTGGGCAGTGTCGGAACATCTGGGGGGTACTTTATAGGTGGTCATTTTTATATTTTATGGAATATATGTTATTTACGTTTGGGGAAGAAAATTCTTCAAATAAAAGTTACTTCTTATATTATTATCTAAAATTTTTATTCTATACAAAATTTTCCTAAAATGGTCCGTATTCGAGAAATTTGACAAAATGTAAAAAAATATTTTTTTATAAAAATTGTTCAAACAAAAGTTGTTTGTAATATTATTCTCTATAATTTTTATCCTATACATAATTTCTCTAAAATTGACCGTATTCGAGATATTTGAGAAAATGTGTAAATTTTGAAATTTGAAGAAAACTCAAAGGCGGATGAAGAAAAAAACATTAAATTTTAAACTTAAGTTTTATTTCGGCCTGACGTGAACTGATTAGATTTTGGAACAGCTATTGAAAAATGTGTTAATGATGCTCTAAATGCTGTTAAAATGTATTGTCAATATTTAAATATGTCTGTATATAATGTTACGTTGTAATCGTCACTCCCTTTTAATAGTTACAATATTTAATTAGTTCATTATTATTCCAATATATTCTAATACTTTTTGAGCGCCCCTCGTATTTGGAATTATAGATATTATGTTGAAACGGGAATTTGTCTCTGTCTAAAGCCTTGGTTTCTTTGAACAGTCCGTCGCGGTGAGCGGACAGTCCGTCGACCGCTGAGGACAGCAATTTTCGCCCAAGGTGGTTTGTTAAAAAATATAGAAAATTATACTTTCTCTATGTCTGTACGTGCTGTTTATGTATTATGAATGTAAACGGAAGGTACTAAAATGGTTGCAAATAAATTGTTTGCGTTATTATTGTGTGAATTTGTCACTCATTGTTTTAAAATTAATAACAATATAGTCTCCGCACACGCCGACGATTCCGCTGATATCAAACTCAACAGATATCAACCGACTCTTCGCGACAAATCAGCGGCATGACGCCGTCCTGTTCAGCTAAGCGGATTCAAGAAAACCATTCCCATTTAAATACTCTGGTTGGGTAAAATCGTCAAAACGCGACGGTTGACGGACTGTCCGCTCACCGCGACGAAGTGTTCAAAGAAACCAAGGCTTAAGACATTCGATAGCCCAACCAATGATGCGCTCTCTCTAAAAATCAATAATTACGGTCAGATGTCGTGCGCACGCCTGGCTTACTTATGGATGGGGAATATTCACCTTTTCACACATTTGGTCAGCTGTCGGCTTTTGAACTTTCTTTTCAATCTAGCAGCGAGGTAAACCGGTTGGGTTTAGTGCTTTGTGTGTCCGAATAACTAAGGTAATCTCGAATTTTTTTTTATTAATGAAAAGTAGAAATTAATTTTATTGTGTGCATATTCTGCTGAAATTATCTTTTGAGTTATCTCTTTTATTAATAGTGAGCTTTTCGCGTAATATAAATTCCAAAATGTACAAAATGGCTGCCATTAATTTTATATTTTTTTCTTCTCAGTTATTTGAAAAGATCTTTCCATTCTTCATGTGTTTTAAATTAAATACTATTGCAACTCTCTAATATTGTTGTAAAGTTTGAAATGTTTAATTTAAGAATGTTTAATTTAAATTGTAAGATTTATTGCTGAACACATGTGTTGTTTTTTTTTGAAGCAATGGAAAGATACGTTTTTTTTTTTGTTGTAACTGACACGTTTTTTCTTTCTTAAAAAAATAAGGAACTGGCTCTGGATCTGTACCAAAATAAGGAACTGGATCTGGAATAAAATAAGGAACTGGCTCTGGATCTGTACCAAAATAAGGCTCTGGATCTGGAATAAAATAAGGAATTGTCCTTGGTAATCTGGAACTGCAGAATCATTGTCAGCTAGTTGCCACTAGAGCTGCGGAATATCTTGGGCTGAGTTGCGTAAGGAACTGCAGTGTTTGAAGTCATCGTAGGCTCACCGCTCACCTACCATTAAGACAGGGACCAGACCAGTTCGACCGTTAAATCCGGAAACACAAGATAAGTGTCGGCCAGGACCACACACACAATTTTTGAGTCACTAGTCAATTTTTATTTTAAACTTATTGGTAAAACGTAATCTGAAAAATGTGTTAAAATCAATTAATTTAATTTTCTTTTTTATTATGTAATCAGTCAAATTCAAAATTTAAATTAAAGCCGATTAATTGTTTTGAAATTTTAGTCCCTTTTTTTTTTACTTTCAACCGACAAGTTGATGACAAATTTGCTTTTATTTTACATCTAAAAGTAT